CGAACGATGTTTGCCAAGGCTGGTAGCGATTGGAAGAAAACGAAGGGTGGTCAAGCTAAGACCTGGCATGAGGGTATGAAAACCCTAACCAGGAGATTAGGTCACATAGGCCCCGTTAGGCTCCCTGGCTGGGGACCTCGGGATGATGGTCACCGATGGTTAGCTACACTGAGTGATATGGCTGGGTGTCGCAAACAGTGGCACTCGTGCATCCACTCGTTATTTTCCTAACACACTATGTGTATTCCCCATCTGACTCTATATTTATTCCCCATCTTCCGCTTGAATTTGCTTCGACATTGCAATCTTCATTTCGCTATTTTATCCAAATGGGCAACCAAAAGACAGCAACCAAAACCGGCGCACGAAAGTGCATGGTTAATGGTTGTAAAACTGAAACTGAAACTTACGGGATAGACTATATTGTGCGCGTTCACAGCTACCGTCGCCTGAACAGCGGAGAAGATAAATCCTGTAACAGCCAGTGACATACGGTTAGATTATGGAAGCCGGTAGATTCAGTCCTGGTGATGAACCAGGATAGTTCAGCGCACTTTGTGAAATACCCCCGGTTATTTCTGATGCGCACTCATGACATTTCCTCAATAATACCATACCTTGGGAGCTCATAAGTTTTAGCGAAACCATAAATGCCTTGCTGAAAGCTTAGTTTCCTCCGTGTGAACAAGCACAGGAATGTGTATTCTATTTCGCTTTATTCGCCATACGTACTGGCATTGCTGTCTGAATTATTCAGTGGTCTCTCAACACCAATTACCGTTAAATCCGGAAACTGCAAAAACCGAATCGTCACGAAAAATGGCAACGAATAGTCATGTTTATTACTGATTTCGCTGCATCCGCTCCAACCAAAATCCGCGAATAACGCTGCTTTATGGACGATTACACATCTAACCTGGTCTACTCACATGCACCTTGTACGATTAACGTATCTAATGTTGTTTGCTGTTCCTTATTTTTTTAAACGAATTCTCTCACTTCATTAAGCACGTTTCATACCTCTATCCTATCTCGCTGCATGCAATCCCTTCTGTTCAACACATCATTGCAAATTTGTTCCATTTCGGACTTGGTCTTCATTGTCTAGAATCGGTTGAACTGTTGGCCTCAATGACACATTGCGCTCCGAAACAGCTCTCAGCCTGTCTACCGCAAATTGTTCCACGTCTTCTGGAAGTTTTGGTCGACTCACAGGATCGAGTGAAACAGGCAGGCATACGCGCGTTGAGGCAAATCGGCAATGTGATTCGCAACCCAGAAGTCCAAGGTAAGCCATCCACAGGGGGAGGTGGTGGATCCGAACTCAGGTTTTTCTAAGTTTAGTGGGTAGAATAAGTATCGCTTTGATTTTTGATTAGCCAGTTTTCGGATTTAACACGTAGCAACCAGTCCATCCGGTCAATCACACTCATGAAGCACTGAATTCGGACTTCGATTTCATTACAATTAAATTGTTTTTACTACTCACGAACCCATCTGATGTTTTAAACCCATACTCCTCAATGTTCTAGTTAATCTCGATTTTGAGTTGGTAATTCAAATTGATTATTGTTATCATTCTTCCAATTATTATTATTATTATTATTATTATTATTATTATTATTATCGTTGTTATTCATCGATATTTTCATCTGTAATCCGGTTTGTATTGTCTTCTCCGATTTCCCTCGATCACATGTCCCAACCAATTTGCAAAATTGGCACTGTATACGTTTTGATTAACGGTCGCCAAATAAGCTAAACTAGGGAAGCAGCGATGCATTCATCGATAAACCTGTCATTCAGTTCACTTTTATTGTGACCCATATTGGTACTGGAGATGTTTACCTCGGACTGTGAGCATTGGCGATGACTTGTTCCCTGTGAATGTTATCTTGCTTTCCAACGTTTGCCTACCTGGTGGCGAAAAAGAACGCTGAAATTTTCAATCGAACAACGTTAGAATTGCTAGTTTCAGTCTTTTAAATGAACTCGATGAAGCAGAAAGAACTGAGGATTTATTCTAACCTCTTTTTTCAGAATTAACAAAAAAGGTATTCAATTCTGGCGAAATTTTCTGGGAAGGCAAACACATAAGAAAACTAGGTGTTTTTTTGCTTCTCGTTGTGACCTCTGTTTTTAACGCATCATTGAATTGCATTCCTCTACTTGCTATTTTGCTGCAGCTTTGGTACCGCTTCTGACCGAATGTCTTCAAGATCCACTCACGGACAAGATGCCTTGTCTTCGTGCTCTACGAGACACATGTTTTGTCCATGTACTTGATGCTCCAAGCCTTGCTTTGATACTCCCAGTTATACAACGGGCATTCGACGATCGATCAACCGAGGCTAGGAAAACGGCAGCCCAAATATTTGGCAACTTGCACAGTCTTGCGCGCCAAGAGGTTCGTGCGTGTTTGTGCCCCTTTTGTTCTGTTTGTGCCGTGTGTTCCATTAGACGCCAATCTAGAAACATGACGTTTTTCATATTTTTATCAAACCAATCTTGGAGTTATTTGAACACATGGGCATACACTTCTTTACTGCGGCTGGCTCCTTGTAGAGGATAAGTCGACTTCATGACAATCATGAAGTTTCATGTGAGTTTGATTCGTGAGACGTCCGCCGAATTACTTGGTTTTTTTTCCAGGACACACCTTCAANGCAGCAGTGTTTGCACGTGGTTGCCGGTGGCTCCGTAGGAGCTCATTCTCCATTTTGTAGATGTAGCTACAACCCAGGGGCCCACGCATCCGTGTTAGTTGGACGGGTTTCCTTCATACCCGTTTGATCCGGTGGTAGATCTCGTCCGCCCATTCAGAAGTAGCTACCTTGACATGCCGTTCGCCCTCTCGCCCAGGCCTCTTGACCTTGGTTACCCTCAACTTGGTTTAGCCCACCTATTTAGCGGTTTGCCCGTTTGTGACCGCGGATGCATGCCTCAGATTCGTCGTACCACGACTGAGAGTTGAATACATGACTGAAACAAAGGGAATAACCGGAGGAGACACGGCATTCATTCGCTGTTTTTTTCGAATTCATGATATCGCTGTTTCTTTTCTTATGTCATACTTGCATTGGTAAATATTGTCAATTCCGTGTGATCTTTACTTCCTGTGATCATCTTCCATAGGAACTCCAACCGTATGTCGGGACCATTTTGCCCCCGTTAAAAACTTGCCTGCTCGATGCTGTCCCTGAAGTGCGTTCGGTTGCTGCTGCTGCATTGGGTGCCTTAGTACGTGGAATGGGCGAATCTTGTTTCGCGGTAAGCTTATGCTTTACTCCCCGTTCGTCTCATCTACCAGAATGTCATTGTTCAGCAAAAAGTTTCGTGTGCTTATGATGAGTCCAATTTTTGCTGTTTTGCGGTGTGCTAATGAATGCGCCACTTGCATTCGGACGCTTGTCCAAGGACTATTGCATAGTCTACACGACAGTGATATCGGATAGACATTTCTGATTTGTTGCATGCATCGGTGACCGCAGTCTGCTCAAAATATGAGTTAAATGAACCAATTTAATCTGCTCCAAAGTTATATGCGGTTAATACCGCTCAGCTAACTACCTCTCGTCCGTAATCGACCCAAAATCAACCCTTGCCATTTTCATTCGGTTCATGTCTTTCCTCGCAACAGAATAGCTATTCCATGTGGTTCCTTGCGAGGTTGAAAACGAAAACTATGACAGCCACAGTAGCACTGATTAGGTAAGAAGGGTCTGTCTCAAAACATCTGTGATGTGCTGAAATGATTACCAAAGGTAACAAGCTGTCCAGTAAGGGATTGGAATAGTTATTTGCGATTTCGGCACTAATTTAGTTGACTGATAATGGAACCGCCATGGGGTTATTTTGATAGTCTATTGGAAGGCGGACGAAATTCTCCGTGGTAGTGTACTTAAATGAATTAAAATATTGTAAACAGAAATCATCCTTGCAAGTCTGACACACTATGTTGCTTATATTCTGAATTAACTTGAAGCATCAAACTACACAAAAATACCATTCACACCCCAGACGCAGTAAGCTATTTGTGACGGCTTTGTGTTCCTTACTTTATTCCCCTAATACAGAGTAGTGTTATATGCGAGCTTTATTATCCACCAACGTTCAGAATTTGATTCTAAACCCATTCGGTTTAGTTGGGCTCATATGTTATCAAACTGAAACGGGTCTCCATCGACATCAGCTGTTCTTCCGTCTCAAGAGGCTGGCAACCGTGTCGGCATCAAAGATTTCTCGCAAACAGGCCCAGGAATCGATATCTCTTAACCGTGGAAACGTCATTGCTTTTTTATCTGTGCCACTCGATCACGATTTATTCCGATGCGAAGGTCTATCCCGGAAGAAGTCAACTGAATGAATCTTGCCACCACTCATATCGTTTCAAACCTAGTTAAATTCTGTTTGATGATAAATATAGCACTATGAATTTGGTTGCGGTTTCAAAACCTCACGCACGACCTTTTATCTAGAAGGATTCTAATAAGCTTTCGCCAATCAGTTATATAGACTACCGTTGTGAACATATTTAAACATCCATTACCCCTGATAGACTGCATCAGACGTGGTACAAGACACATGTTGCGTGAGAAAATCTTCCTGTACTCTGCTCGGTTGCACACGTGCCTAGTGATTGAGCTGACAGATTCTTTGTCATTCGCTCAAATGCCACTGCAGGTCAATGACAGATATTTTTCAGCTGATTAATATTTTCGGGTTTTGATCCATAGGAAATCCTCCCATGGTTAATCACCACATTGACTTCGGAAACCTCCTCGGTCGATCGATCAGGCGCGGCGCAAGGTTTGGCTGAGGTGTTGGGTGCAATGGGTATCGAACGATTGCGTGCAATTCTGCCCGATCTTATACGAACAGCAGCATCGGATTCGAAGGTTCAGCCCCATGTACGGGACGGCTATCTGATGCTGTTCATTTATCTGCCTGCGGTGTTCCAGGACTCATTCGCTGAGTTTANCATTCCGACGATTCTGAAGGTAGGACTTTTGTGCTCACATTTATCCACCGTATCTCCCACTGCACTCCCATTTCTTGTGGGTCTATTTATGCTAAATTTTCTGTTCATTGGTATTTCGGTTGCCATTCCTTCCTATTCCAAACCACTTCGATCGGAGATCAATGTCAGACGAATTTTGACCGCTGTGTGAATTCTGGTGTAGCCAGTTAACTGCTGATCTTTCTTTAACAAACATCATGTTTGAATACTGTTTCTCTGTGCCCTTTCTTGATTCTACTTCTCGATTTTCTCTTCGGTGCAGTCGCTGTCTGACGAAACGGAA